TGGTCTTCAATGTGCACCTAGTGCACTCAGGCATGAGGCAAATGGAACACTGTTAAGAAACAAAGTTAAGAAAAGTAAAGTTTTGAGTTGAAAATGACATGAGTCATATTACATATCATCGCTGTCCTGAAAAAAACAACCCTGAATCTCTAAAACTTCACGTTTTATGATGTCATTATAATTTGTTGTAAGTAAGTTTCTTAACTTTAATGTAATTTAATGTAAGGGATTTTATTCCAGGTTATTTTGGAGCATTTCTCTTGGTCTAGTAGGACCATACGGACAGCACGGAAATCGAGAAGACAACTTTTGTTATCTTGAGATCACAAGACAAAGTCATGATCACAAGAAAACAGTCCGGAAAATTATATCTACCTCTCTGGACTTCCGCATGGCAGCTAATTAGTTCAAATGATGTAAGAAAAAGGAGATTTGTGATTGGATTTGCATGAATGAGTGGAGAAACAAAACTATTGCAGATGTTTCCCCATTGCTTAAATGTATCATGTACTGCATGATACATTTAAGCAATCCTACCATGCTTGATGGCATGCATAAAAATGATGAGCAGGCGAAGTTGACCTTGAGTTCAGATCAAGATGGCCAGAGGAAAATATCTAAGTGACTTTGATAGAGGGCTCATTAGAGGAACACAGATGGCAGGAACTTCAGTCACAAAGACTGCTCAACTGGCTAGTGTTTCAATAGGAACAGTGGCTAAAGTGACATCTGCATTTAGATCTGTGGGAAAGACTTCAGTAAACATGGCTGGAAACTGCCAAAAGCACACGTTCAGTGAGTGTGAAGCTAGTGCGAAATGTAAGGAACAACAGAAGAGCAGCTGTTTCTCAGGTGACTGTGAATGCAGGACGTGAGCAGACTGCCAGCAAGAAGAGTCAGCAACAACTACTTAGAGAGGGACATTATAATAGGGCTACAGAGTGTTAACCCCTTGTTACAAAGACAAATGATCACTTGAGAGTTCAGTACGCACTAGTCTACAGAGATGTGGAAAAAAGTGTGGTCAGTCACGCAAGGTATTGGATGACAACTGTAAATACTGGGCTTTATTAAGGAAAGGTTTGTCATTAGTGACACAAAGGTAACATGCTCACTGACATGTACATAAAAGTATTGTATCATATCAGTATCTCATCTAAGTGAAGGAACAGTGACTAAAGTGACATCTGCAAAAGCCCAGCAGGTCCATGTCTGCTTTTCCCCCGGATATAAAGCTAACTGAGGACATCTGAGATGGTTGGCCATCTGGGCGAACACCTGATGCTGGTAAAAGCTGCCTTTGCCTGCTGATCGGAGACCAGTTCAGTACTTTCTGCCTAAATGGATGAAGCTATCAACTTAGCTAGAAGAAGCCAAGCCTAGAACAGTGGCTGAGACTGTGTAGCCTCAGCTTCAAATTCATCAGCTTTTCCTCCTGGGTAATTCTCTTTAATGAATTTAATTTCTTTGTGCCAGAATGCAGGAACCAAGAGCACACTGTTAGCAATGCTTGCTCTGCTAGATTTCAAGGCTTAAAATGAAACGAGTTATAACCCCAGTCATATATATAACGTATATAGTTTCTTCAATGTTATTTTTTTCTGTTTCTCTGAGTTATTAATGAAATAAATGATTTTTTGTGACTATATATAGTCTTTGCACTAATTTTAAGGCATACGCACATGCTACTGCTAATTTGTTAATTATTTACTACACACCCTCACCCAGGGCTAATCTGACAAACTGCTAACAGTTCCACACTTTATATAGGTATGCACAGTGGTGGACGAATTACACACACCATGTACATGAGTTAAAGTAGAGATACCTAAGGTAAAATATTACTCCAGTAAAAGTAGAAGTCCTCCCTTTAGACCTCCACTTGAGTAAAAGTACAAAAGTGTTTGCCTTCAAATGTATTTAAGTACTAAAAGAATAATTATGTCCTATTATTATTTTTGTAACAAGACTCTTGCTTCATCAACTCGTTTTAGGTGAAAATATTCTAGTGTCACTCTTGGTAAACCAATCTTTTAATACAATGTCATTAATTAGTTTGATGTCACTGATGTCTATTAAAATGATCATAAGCACAAAACACTAAAGGCAAACAATTTCCATTAGGTAGAACCAAGTGGATATGAAATAACCTTTTGCGAACAAGCAAAGTTTCAGTTTAAGATGTATTTGCAACTTAGTTTAGATAAGAATTTGTGTATATTTAAACAAGTTTAAATTTAATAAAAACCTGCTTTAAACACAGGTTCACAAATGAGTTTTCCTTTACTATATTGCATCTGTAGGTCTCTGTTCATAAACATAAACTAGCCAAAACGAATTTACTATTAAATGAAAGTGTTTTTTTTTTAATAAATTCAGAAAAAAGACACATGCCAGTCGCAACTGCATGTGTACATATTTCTATATTGTGGTCTATTTACACAAAGTTTGGTTAGAGTTAGGAGTTTCTTCCATCATTTATGTAGGAATAGGCACTCCCAAAATGTTATGATGTTGCACTGATGTTGAACCGTATGCTTGCACTGTCCAACAGGTCAAAACAAGTTCAAAACAAAGTGCGCTCTGCATGATTGGTGTGCTTGTTACGTTTTTATGCACGCATAAGCCAAAAGGAACAACAGATTTCGCATAATGTAGTGGAGTAAAAAGTAAGACATCAGACCCTGAAATGTAGTGGATTAAAAGTAAAAAGTTACCAAAAATGGAAATACTTCAGTAAAGTACAGATACACAAAAAACTACTCAAGTACAGTAACGAATTACATTTACTTCGTTACTGTCCACCACTGGGTATGCAAGATCAATATTATATCAGACAAATATAAGATATATGTGATATAACATGTAGCTTGTTGTTAATGAGAGATAGTCTTAAAAATTTCAGATAAAAGATGCAGACTACTTCTCATTAGCCGCAAGCTACATGTTACAGGGTGTATTTTCAAAGGGTTTGTGACCAATATGCTCTTCAGAGAATATAGATACAAGGCACAAGAGCCTGAAACAGTTAGGTCATCTGGAAATGTACTCTGCACAGCGGAAGGTTATGAAAAGGTCATCTGGAGCTTGCTGACACCGAGACCAGCAAGGGCTGAAAGCAGTAATTATGAGGGATGAGCACACAGCAGCATGGCTGAGACGCTTCCACTTTCAGATCCTTCCATCCTCAGCCAACCACTGTTGTCTGAAGTCTTGACTGAAAACAATTTCAACGAATTACATGGAGAACACAGTTAGCATGGTAAGGAGGTGAATGCTATGTGAGTGGGCTGGAACAGGCTGGGTTATTGCAAGTAAGCTAATGCTACGTGAAAGATTTATATGGCACTTTCCATGAATAGAGTTAAATTTATGTTCCACTACTTTTTTTAAAGGCAATAAAGTGACTGTTGTTCTTTGTAAAAGGGGATCTGTACTTTGACTTAAAATAAAATTATTAAAATGAGCATTTAAATGATTACAAAAACACATAAAATGTCTGCATCTACATTTAAAATGGTGATTTTAAGGTTAAAATAATGATTTTCTCCCAATTATTTATTTAATTTAACAAAAACATTTTAACTTTTCATGCACAACCTTGTTCCCCAAACCTGTTCCCCCTGCAAAAAAATGGAACATTCCATTTAAGATGACATATACAGTAAGTTGCATTCATCTTGTTTTCAGCAGAGCATTAGATAAGCAAGTATTCTCATTTTAATTTCTCAGTTTACACACAAAAAAATGATTTGGCAGCATGGGTAAGGTTTCATCATTCAATCTTTTACCAAAATTATTGTTAAAATCAAGAATTTATATTTATTAATTTATGCAAACTATGTGGTTATTAATAATTAGCATGCAGCATGTTCACCCTGTTAAGCTAAGCGCTCCTGAATGCTGCTTATGTTAAGCTAAATGTGCAACCTTGTCAGTATTGAAAGTATTTTTGAATGGGAATGAAATGGGAATTATGATGTGTTCAACCCTGTTATTCAGTCATTTATGATGAATAATTCCTACACTGTTCAGCAAATTTGTTAAATCAAGTTAAAGCTGAAAGTCTGCACTTAATTTCATCTCCTGTATATAGTGGTAGACAGCTAAAATAATAACACTGTCAATGTCCAAATATTTATGGACCTGACTGTATAACTATCATTTTCAGCATATTTTTGAGCAATCCCCCAAAGACCACATCACTGAATGCTGTTATATAAAAAACATGCCAATTTTTTTATTCTGCTGTGTCAAAAACAATATGCATAAATGCACAATTGGAGTTTTAATGTGGTTATTTAGGTCATAGTCTGTTGTTCCTGCCTTTTATCAATTTGACAATGGCAGTCTGCTCTTAATTCCTTCCTTCAGTGAGGTTACTAGTAACACATTGTTGTTCTACATTAGCTAATCGCTTCTTAACAGTCTCGCTAACAGCCATACACTGCACTGCAACACAAGGTTTTGGAAACAGCCCCCTATATAGCCTGCTATGCTCTCTTATCCGTGCAGCCTTAGTGTACACGCTGAAAGAGGGCTAGCATGAAAGCAGATGTGCATTGCAGGCCTGACCTTGGTTGCTATGGGTACTAAGGACGGACTCGTATTCAACCGCCTGCCTGAGTTCCTGCTAATTGCCGTCGTCATGGCAACGAAGCACCTGATGTAATGCTAGGAAAGGGCAATAACCTTACAAGAGTCCATTTATTTATAGGGAGCTATTCCGTACTGTGCCTGTCACGTCGGACTTGGAAACGGACTCAGAAGGTGGAACTGACACATCTAATACCAGTGATGATAAAAAATGACACATTTTAAAGTGTACATTAGACTGACACTCTTTCATTGTTCAACCTCAACTAGCATCAAAAGCTTTCTTTAAAAAGGCCCAATTTTCTCTAACTAGCACCTTCATATGGCAGTGATTAATGTCTTTATGGTGCACAAGAACCACCCAAACTATAAGCTTTAATGCAAAAGAAAAATGGAAAAAAAGGTTCTAATTCCCAAAGTTTAATTCAAAATTAAGACCAAAAAAAAAACAAAAAAAACAACCAAAATACATTGCAGGTGAAGCATCATACAGTACAGGTGAAAATGATTAAGCCTTTTGATCCAAGCATATTAAACTGGCAGAATCCCAAAGCGATTGGATGTTTAGCTCCTCAGGCTCAGCCGATGATTTCCACACAGACAGATTGGATTATTGGGGTTTACAACCTCCGAGCTTTACGCGGACGGCAGCCATTGTGTGGAACCGGGGTGTTGTCGGTGATTGACACAATCTCCAGTCCTCCCATGCTTAACCCTTTAATGGCAGACTGAACACAGAGAAACAGGAAAACAGAAACTGAATGTTTGCCATCGTTCATAGAAAATCAACAGTTTTCATATTATGAACAATATTTTAATTAGTGGTGCTAAAGTTAATCCGCTAAATTATTAATGCCACTATTTTTTAACGCCGTTAATGCATTTTCCTAGTTTGACCCTTCAAACCATCCATAGTGGTGCAGGCGTAAGCTTAGCTGCAGCATGCTGTTTGTTACTATGATAGGACTGTCCAGTTGACCTATCATAAATCAATGAGCAGCAAACTATCAAAAGTGATAGTGAAGTGGAAAGCTCCAATAAGCCATAAGTCATTAGCTTTGCTTTACTGACACAAATATTACTAGTTAAAGAGATGGTTTAGCCAAAGATCTAATTTACACAATTTCTACCTTTCCCCATTCATTTCCCCATGTTATTGAAAAAAAAATTCTTTGGTGTCAGAAGTTTGTTTCTTCAGTTTTGAACTAGAGCCTCAAGGCTATTGTAGCTAAAAAGTAACAGAACCTTATAGCCACCAGTTTAGCATTGTGCAAAATGCATACCTACCAGGTCAAGTTATGTAACCTCAAATAGTCTTGCTTATGTGGTTTTTGACGCTGTATTACACATTGATGTCCATAACCTATGACAAAACATTATCTACCGCATCAGAAAGCACATAAAGCAAGACTTGAGATTACTTACCTAAAAGCAGTGCTGGGGTAGCACATAACAAGGAAACGTACTACAGTAATCACATTACATTTGCCTGTAACGCATTAATGTAACGCGTTACTGTTCATAAATCCAGTAATCATATGTTTACGCAAAAGGACAAGAATGTAACAGTGAAGTGCAAACTGTGCCCAGGCCAGAAGCTACTACAACACCAAATCTCCCCAAGAACCTGCAAAGACAACATGCTAACATGAATCTAGCAGCAAAAGACCCCTGTAGCCAGAGTGATGCTCATGCTGAGCGTATGCCAACCCCAACCAACCAGCCAAAGCTTGATTTTTAACAGGTAAAAAAACAATTAAATGGCTTTCATTTTTGTGCTTTAGGTTGGTTTTCACCAACTTTGGTGTTGGCTTTGTGGAACTTTATACAAAGAGCATAAAAGAAAGAACTAGTATATGTTTTGCCTATTAGAATAGGGATTTGTGCTGAGGCTGAAGACAACTTCTTGTTGGAATTTTCCAGTTCCACCTTAAATGGTGCAGCAGCTATTAATATAAAGCCTCTGGCACCAGAATGCAACTGTTGCACCATTTAAGGTGGAACTGGAAAATTCCAACAAGAAACTAGCCAATAAGAAGGCGACTTCAGCTTCTTGGCATATGTACGGTTAAATGTTATAGGCTATGGTTAACTGGCCATTACGTGATGATGCATCTCAGGCAATTTTGTGGAGAAACGCAAAAGTAACATAACAAATAGTGTAAAAAATTACTTTCCACAGACAGTAAATAAGTAAAGTAATGCACTACCTGTTATAAAAGTTATGTGTGATACATTACTTTTTTGAGTAATGACCCCAACACAGCCTAAAACTGACTTGAACTGATTTAAGCTTCCTTTACTTGTTAGCTACATTAGCCTTTTAGCCTCAGTGCACAACTAAAAAAGCAAAGTTCAGATACCAAACATGTTTTGGCTGATTACATTTGAGGTAAGGGTGAAATTGTGTTCATTTGATTTTTGGCTGAACTATCACTTTTATAATAGATTAAAAAACACCCATATAATATGATGCATTATCTCATGACAGGAGAAAAAAGTTGCAAATTCCTAGCATGTCAAGGCAACTATCTTTAAGAATAAAAGTAAAAATCCCTAAACCTGATATAAACGTACTTGACAGAATGTGTCTCTATGCATATTATACGTATATGTTCTTTCACTTTGAGTTTTTAACATGACCTCAAGCACCTTCCTTGCCACATTCTACCTAATAGCTTGCCATCGCCATTCTGTCTTAACCTCCTGCATGGTGCAGCTCCATTCTCTAAATTAGCCGGTACTGTAGTCAGAGGACTCACACTGGTTCTTGTAAGGCCACATTAGCGTGAATGCATCACGATTCTAGAAGCTTCTTGCATTCTGTGAATATGCTGGGGTGAGAAAAAGGAGTCATGTAGGTCTTAAAAGCCTCCCGTTGCCCGCGGCTCTGGAGTGGCTCATTATATTCTCACCCTGCCTTAATGTCCTCCCCCGGCTTACACTCCACTGCATAAGATCCTGCTGTGGGCCACTGGGTCAACGGTCAGCCTCATATTATTGATTGTAAAATTTGCATTCATAAGAACTGCTTTGCCTTACAGGCAAGCACACAAGGGTAAAACAGACAAGCATTGATGTCATGCCAGTGGATGGATTATGCCAAACAAAATATGATTTTGGTTGACAAAGCGCATTAGGGAGCAGCACCAGTGTCAGATGCAAAATTCATAGGAAAAACTGAATTACTGAACTCATTCAGAAGGAGATTTTGAGTCATAACACACTGCTCTAAAATGTAGGGGCGTGGCTAAAATAAGGCTCTGCCTATGGACTAAAACTGTGTTTCTGTAGTGACATGAAAATGTGGGATGGAATTTGTTACAAAACATTTTTAAAAAAGTTTAAAAGAAATCAAAAATATCATTTAAAATACATTTAAAAAATGTAAGCACTATTTTCACAAGGGTAAATTTAGGAGTTAGGGGTCGGGACACCTCCCAACACCTCTCAATAGGAGATGATGATTTTGTATATATTTAGCTTATCTAATTACTATTACTATTATATTATTATTATAATTACTTATTATTAATTACTAATTTTTTTATTAATTATTAATTAATTACCTTGGGATAGTAATTACTATGCCAACAAAGGTCTAAATTCTCCATTACTTATGACTGCAGTTTGATCTACAATTCTAAATAATAATTCTACCAATACAATACCATAGTATTATATATTATACAATAGCGTAATATTTATTTAACTCAACATTGTATTTTATTTAACTTCTCTCACGATTATTCTTTATGAAACAAGACACGATTAGAATTATGAAACAATTAAAGTATCTGCCAACAGAATAAGTTTTTCTACATTGTGGTCGGCAAGACGCGGCTCTTTTACTGCCCCGTTGTAGCTCCACAGCAGAATTAGAATTTTTAAGTAAAAATAAAAAAAAAGTAAGTTTTTTTTTTTGCAGTAAAATAAAGCGCTGCTGATCGTTATAACACAGTTTTAACAATAAGTGGTCTTAAACTCTGTAGTTAACGTAAAATGCTATTTCACCCTTTAACCCTCAAGGGTGGCGCTCAGACTGCTGGTCACAGCAACACAGACAACAGTCTTGCCTACCTAGTAGCTAACAAAACCGTAAAGAGAAAAATTTAATACAAACATTGATAATTTAGGGACAAACTCCAGCTCATTTTCTGATATGTTTAATCTGCAATGAGAAACTGTCAAACAATAAAAAGTTGTGACTCTTATTTGCCAGCTTCTCAATTGAATTCTACCGTTTTACCTTAAATGGTGCAGCAGTTACGTTCTGGCGCCTCACACACCTTTTTAGGTGGAACGAGAAAATTCAAACAAGAAGCTGGTGAATGAGAAGCCAGCCTTGTATAAAATCAAATGTTGAGAGACATTTTACAAGAAACTATTCTACTTTTGAGGAAAAGTTTCCTGCTGGAGATGTGAGAAAAGCAGCTATAGCTGAGCTAAAACTTTAAGCCGAGCAAAGTAAGTCTGTGTTTTTGTTAATATCATATTTTTCAGCCTACAGTAGCACATTAGGACATACTGAGACATATCTACAGTCAAGATGGTAAAATGGACATAATGTTGTGGTTTGATTTTTGTTGAAAGGATTAAATGGCTCATCTTAACATCTGGCCTGCCGACCCCTGTTTTACATTAAAACAAATACCATCTAGACATAACTTGAATAATCAGCTGATACATCCATCTTCTGATATACTATACACATCATCAGTGGAGTTTCTAGGTGTTTCAGGTCTTTCAACATCAGATACCTCCACCCCGGTGACCCAACTGGGGTTGAAATATCTTATAATAATTACTATGTATATCTATATAAATATATAATGACTAAATTTAAGATGTTTCACTTGCCAAGACATCATTTCTTTGCAGTGCACTCATCAGTCACGGAGTCTTCCTACATCTTAAAAAAAACTGGCCATCATGTTCTGCAAAAGCTTCATGTAATGCCAGCTAAGAAACCTAACATGCTCCAATTGCTTCATCATCTCTGCTCTGGGTATTTTCCCTACCAGCTTACAGCAGGCAGTAGTCCAGACTGGTGCTTTGCTGGCACCACCACACATGGCATAAAGCTTCAGAATTATGGACTTACATTTTGCCCATTTATTTTGATTAAGTCTAAATTAATGTAATTTTACTATCATGCTAATTTCTCATGCTGCATTCCCTCCACTTCGTTCTTTCAGCCCTAAATTTGCCAACCACTCATCGAGTTGCTGCTGGACTAAAGCTACAGCCATCAAACTTGCCTGTATCTCACTACAGTAAACTCCAGAAGTGATGCTTCTTGCAATTTTGGCTATGTTCTTCAGTGGACATGAATACAGCCCATCTGCTTCTATACACAAATGTGTTCAACCATATCAGTTAAATCAAACTAAAATCTAAAGTATCTGAATGATTTTTCAAATAAATATTTATAATATTTGTATTATTTTGCACTTAATGACATTCAGAAATTGCTGATGCACAGACATCATCTCATCCTGGCTTGTGCTGCAGCCTTCTTTAGTTCCGGCTCATTTGGATGGGTTAGGTCTGAAAGCCTCTTCGGTTGCCAGGGCAGTGTGTTTTGGATCATTGTCCTGCTGCATGAGCACACAAGCCTTTTTTTTTGTAGACTACAGAATTCACCCGGCTGTCACTGTTAGAAGCCGCTTCTAGTGGCAGCCACACAAGCCCAAGCAATGTTTCACAGATGGTGGTAGACATCGGA